TTCAGCAAGTGGTGCAGGGGAAACTCTGCCCGTTTTGCACGACGACAACAAATTTTTTAGCAAGCGGTGCAGGGGAAACTCTGCCCGTTTTGCACAGCGGCGGCAAGTCTTCGGCAAACGGTGCAGGGGAGACTCTGCCTCTTTGGCACGGCAACGGCGAGGCTTTTTGACGGTGTCGTGGAAGCACTGCCTTTTTTTTGCGGCGGCGACAGTGCATTCTAGGCAGTGACGCGGAAGCGCTACCGAAATTTTGCGGCGACAGCGAGGGTTTGACGGTAGTGGTGCGGAAGTGCTGCCGAATTTCTTGTGGCAACAACACTGGTTTTAATAGTAGTGGTGCGGAAGCTGCCGGTTTCTCACGGCGGAGGCGGCAGTATTCTTGCACTGTCTATATTAAGAGGCGACTGGGCATTGGCACAGGGAAGGTATCGCAAAGTGGTAGTGCGCTTGAGAGTGGTGTGAGTGCGACGTCGTAGTGGCGCAGTGAAATTAGGGGTGCGTGACGGCGACGCTGAGACGCCATTAGATTACTCGGAGATGATTGTGTATTGAGAGGGTGTCGCGGCAAGCTATCGCTCTAGGGAGTGGTGTGGACCGCTTTGCGGGTGACTTGTTGTGACGATTGTCTTCTCTGGAGTGTGATTTTACAAGGTCTTCTTGAGTGGGCTGTCTCTTCAACTTCACTCAAGGTCAGTTTGACTCAGACCCTTCACACCTATGTGAACCCGCACTTGCTTGACCCTGTTCTTTGAACGTTCATTGAAAAGGTAGAGGAGATGTGTGTTTACGTGTGCGAATGGAAGACTGACGTGAGTTTGGGATTGCATTGTCTTCTTTTGAAATTGTTGTTTGATCTGATGTGCAGGTAGGTAGAAGGATGTCTGAAAAAGAGGAACCTATTCATGTTAATGAAAGTAATTGCGAGGATGGTTGCCTTCTATTTCTCGCTTGCATGTATGTTGAAGGGATGGGAAGTCAGTAGTCGAAATAAAACGAAACAATCACACAAAGAAGAAGAAATCAATTGGACATAGATTTTTTCTGAAAAGGACGTCCGTTCTTTTTCGAATGACCCCCTCCGTCTATGCCCGTGTAGTATCTGAATGACTTTCTCTTCTGTGATCCCCTTTTCTTCATCTAAGTTACCCTTGATGTCAGGCGACAAGGGACCATATTGCCTGCCGTGGTAGACGTTTTTCCCTTCCCTAGGAGGCATCTGAAGCGAGGGTTCGTTGCCTTAGGGGCCGGCCCTACTATCGACTCGGAGTGGACCGCTTATGTCGGGGGATACCACGCTGTTGTGGTGGAGCCAGCCCGACTTCTGAGATCCGAGGTTCGCTCAGGCGAGGACGAGGGGTATCCCAGACCACCTCCTAGGGAAAGGACATGCGCCTACTCACGAAAGGGCCTTAAGTTCTTAACGCCTCTCGTTAAGGGGAGTTGTCATAGCATACCCCTTACTGGTCATTTCAGGGGTTACTCGTGCATGGAGAACTGAACCATAAGAAGCTCGGTTCATGGTTACAAGTTGAAACAGAGCGCAGCTAGGCACTCTTGTCGTGATTGGCCTCGCCACAAGAAGCGAGGACCAATAGGGTTGATATGGCAAGCAAGGTTTGGATAACTAGCTTTTCAGTAAGGTCAACGAGGGTTAGGAGGAAAAAGCAACCAACAAATTTGAAAGCGGATCCTCGTCTTTAATAGGGAATCCAGTGTTTGGTTGTTCAAGTCGGTTGCTGACTTGCGTAGTGGTAACCGGATTACTTGCAGACGACATTCACACCAAAGTTAGAGTGAAAGCGTAGTCATTACTAGAGCGATACCACCTTAACTTTGCTTGGAAGTTGGAATGTCAGCATTTCTTTGTTAACAGTTAGTGTGGGTTGGAATGAAAAAACTTGGCAACGTATCTCATCAAGTCGAAAAAGTCATGACAGCCCAGCTACCTGACAGGCAGAGTGGAGATACTTTAGTAAGACGTCATTTGAACGTCACATTGTGTATAGGTCATGCTTTGATCTCTTGTTGATAAGTGTTGTTTGAAGTCAGGTCGACTTTTATCGGTTGAACGAGTGGTATATATGATCGTATCGATTTCAGAAGACAAGTCAACTTACGATGACCCGAGTCTTCTTTTGAAAGTGTTTTGTTGATTAACTCTTAATTGTTTTTGAAAGAAGGGACTAGGATCGATCGAGTTTTCCTTACGCTTGGAATATCACGTCCTAGTCGACCGACGTCGTTCCAATTCCTAGGAGATCAGCGCCCCGGGGACGGACGATGTTCGGGTCCACTTTGGCGTTCAACCATGCGTACCTATGCTACAACGAACGAGCAAACACCCTCGGTCGGCCTACCTCTGCAATTGCATTATAAAAGCCTTCGCATGTGGGTCGGTAGATCGGCGGGGATACGCCCCTAAGGGTGGTGACAGCCCATTAAAGAAGGTAAGTTGTGCCCCGCGCGAACCTATCCTATCGTAGGGGACCGCGGGGTGTACAACTGACGCACTCGGCCGGAGCGGCGAAGGGTCAATGCGGGTTACCGTGTCATCCCCGAGTTGTCTCTAAAAGGTTGAAAGCCTAAGTTTCTCCTGCGTGACGCGGTCGGGAGGGCCCTCGCACGCGAGGGGGCCGATGCGCTCGACACCGGTATCACAGTACAATGCTAGAGGACACTGCTATGAACATCTCCCGTTTGGGCAGAGCAACGGAAACAGCCTCGTGCAAATCCAGGCGCCTGGGTACGGAAGGGGAGGGGGAGGTGACACGGGAGGAAGAGGAGGATGATATTGAAATACGAACTATGGCATCCTTTCTCTCCCTAGGCAAGACCATCGGCCAGGAATCGGGTTTTAGGATTAGTTTCAAATCGATAGACCGACCGAACAAAGCGAAATCTGGGCAAACAATCACCACAACTAGTTTTCTTGTGATTTTGGGCATCACCTCTTCGGC